AAATAATTGAATATCAATTCAATAAAAATTTAATTATAAGAGAGAACTTTTGCTACAAAAATGAAATACAGATTTGTAAGTAAAGTTGATACTTTACCTGATCCTTGACAAACGTGAAATGAAGTGTCACAGGGATCATCCGTTGGCGTATGAAGTGATTCCCCAAAATTTTCACAATAATATACCTTTACTGCTACCTATTGACATAACAATATTTATCTGTTAAAGACTGTAGAACGACACTACTAAACGCTTTTACAGATTAAGACCAAGGCAGTTTTGCTAAGTATTTTTCGGGTGTGCTACGTGAGTGCGAATCCCGATTACGCGAATGACGATAGTGCGAAGACTGTTCCCCGAAAGCTTGAATGCGCGATAGTTCATTTGCGCGAATGACGATAGAACGAAGACAGATTTGCGAAAGCTGGAAGGCTAATTAACTTTTACAACTTTTAGTGCTATCGTAATCCGCGCAAATGGACTATCGCGCATTGAAGCTTTCGCGCAACCGTCTTCGCACTCACGTAGTACACCCCTATATTTCAGTATGCACAAAATTGGTACAAAGCAAGCTACCTGAGCGGTCTCCTCTCGAGTCACCTCGATTTAAAGTGAAGTGTGAAGTTGTGGTGAAGGTCGGGTCGGATTGGCCACCATTGTTAAATTCAGCCTTTTGTTATTCTTTCTGTCAATCAACTAGTTCTTTCTCTCTACCGTTTGTACCACGCAATCTTTTACGTAACGTTTAGCCGACAACCAATCTAACCATCGAATCTTCTTATTTACTGTACCTTATTATTAAACCATAATGTCCTGTTCTGACATTCTTACTACTCCTTAGACACTACACATTCCTCGATTGCTGCATTCGTCACCTTTTCTTGTACAATATTCCATTACTCTTTTTAAGATTAGGAAAATAGCGATCACTATCTTTTTATGTTACAGAGAGGAATCTACCGATATTGGACATTTTCGTGCAGCACAACCCGGGCAGCGGTTCCGTATTTGCTAGCTATGTTATGTTCATACTTCAAACCATCATCTTTGCTTTCATTTCCTGGTACCTTAATAAAGTACGCCCCGGCAAATATGGAACTGCGCTGCCGTACACCTTCTTGTTCAAGGTGGGTATTAGACTACCTACAGAAAAATAATCATAATAGGCTAGCGTGGTGGACTATGGCCTGTCCTTCCTTAGAGGAGATCCATGCCCAGTGGGAAGTATAATCGGCTGATGTTGTTGATAATTATGTTAAAAAACTGGACATCCTTAATGACGTTATGGTCGATACAAACCTCAAATCACTTTGGTCGATTCTGCATAACAGTGAAAGCACTTTGGAAAAATATATAGTCAAATGAGGACATACACTGATTTACTATACGGTGTGTAAACACGATTCCTAAAAATAAATTTTCACTACAGAAAAAAACACTAACTTACCTCGAAATTTTACAAGAATACCGCTAGATAAGTCGATAAGTACTTTACATATCAACTCATCCGTAGAACAAAGACCTACGTGCACGACTAATTGCTCTCAGGACGTAACACATTTCGTTTGTTCTTCTTCGCTGTGGATGTCAGGTCGACTGTTGTTCGATTTTATATTTCCGAAACGAAATAAGTTAAATTTTCAAAACATCTTTACCTTATTCTCTTTTCGCTACATAGTCATATCGGACTTTGTTCTTCGGATGAGTCGAATTGCAAGTACCAATTTTTTTTTTGTCAACTGAACTAAATAGAACACGTATTCAAAGTCAAAGTCAAAGTCAAAGATTATTTATTCCATAGGTAAAATAAATTTACACTTGAAAACGTCACATTTAAGCTACTGCTCGTTCACTACGCTGACTTCCCTGAGAAGAACGAGCAAGAAACTCTAGGGATTGCTCTTTTCAAGTAAACTTAAATGCTATGGAATACACTTTGAATCAAATTTGTGTGGATTCTGGAGCCGTGTCGTCTTTCCATACATCTTTATCTAACACGTAGTCTTCAATTTTGTAATATGATTTTTCAATCAAAATATTTTTAATGTTGTTTTTAAACTTAGGAAATGATAAACTTAATATGTGCTCCGGAATCTTATTGTGCAGTTCCCCATAAAAGAGTTGTTTACCTTGATTAAACGAAATCGTGGTACCATGAGTTTGGACTTAGCTCTAAGGTTAATATTATGGATATCTTCTTTCTTATTGAAATTATTTATATTTTTACGGGCATATAAAATATTTGAGTAAATGTACTGTGATGCCACAGTCATGATACCAGTTTCCTTAAACTTTTCTCCGAGAGAAACCCGAGAGCCTAGACGGTACACAGAATGATCGTTTTTGCAATACAAATATGGTTTGAATATCTGCCGCTTTACCCCACATGAGAATCCCGTAGGACATTATACTATGGAAGTAACTAAAGTAAACTAGTCTAGCAGTACTAACATCGGTAAGCTCACGTATCCTGCGGACTGCGTATGCAGCGGAGCTTAATCTGCTGGCCAGGGACGATATGTGATACGAACTATACGATATACATTTTTCAAATGACTTTAATTTCTGTTATAATAAAATAAATTCTGAAATAAAGCCTGTGTTCGTGTCCCTCGACGCAAACAATAGAACCAATTTAGTATACGGAAAAAAAAATTAATTCGAGCTTATAGTAATATGGTAGTATTGGCTCCTAAGATCTTGCGTGGAGTATTGCAGTCACCCGTGGGATGGCTCAGTGAATTATCAACAAGAGGCTTTGACTCGCTTAAACGCCAGAAGATTTTTGGCGACGATAAGCTCGAATTTAAAGTTCATTTGTTTTGCTCACCAACGCAATGTTGCCTGACTGTCGGTTTTGTACAGAATGTGCTCGGTGAGTGTACCAATGAGCTCCATCAGCTTACCATTGGGCATCCAGACGTACAGCGAGATATCATTCCTACTTAGTCAATGTTCCCTTCAGGCGTACTAAGCGCTTTTCGTCATCTTTATTATGCGCATAGCTCAGGAATGAAATTTCTTGCCTGCGACTGTGTCTCCGAGCACATGCAACCCTATCTTTAAGGTGCGATTGAATAGGCAACTCTTTGCGAGCTTGTTCCATCGTAGACCCTACCTTTATTCCAGGGTAGTGGTCAAGAGCAAGTCCATTTACTTAAAAAAAAAAACCAAGTAAGAATATTTAAGTTTTCCCAGAGTAATTCTAGTTAGTAATTATTAACCTAACATAATATATTAGGAAAATACGTTTGTCTGTGTTTACAAGGCTCAATTTTGGAGCATCAAAAAAGTTGCCCTTATAACAATGGACAAAGAATACATGACGACGATAACCAAGGACCGCGACCCGCTCTACTTCGAGAAACCGCCGCCTTCCGCCGAGATTGGCATCCGCATTACCAACCTCACTAAAGTAAGTAAACATTTCTTACACAACCGCAACAATCGTCATTAAAATGTTTACATACAAGAGAAACTGGTTGTACTCTTGTGTTTTACGGCCTGTAAATCTAAAACAATTTTATGAAGGTGAATGGGATAGGACCTCAATCTGTGTATACCCTGTAATAAAAGTACTATGCTAACGCAATAGAATTCTAGGGGACACACTCTGAATTGGCAAATTCAAATCAATTTACAAAAATCAATCGGCTCAGCCGGATTCCAAACCTATAATCATATATATAAAGAATAAAATCTGTCTTGATCGCTGAGTCACCGAGTTCATCGCACCTAAAACATTGTCTTGATCAAAACATCGTCTAGCGGCATCTAGTACTAACTGGCGACACTAACAAAAATAGTTATATTTATCTGTAGGTGTACAATGAACAGAAAGTTCTGGATAACGTGTCATTCGATGTGTACAAAGGGGAAATCACGGTGCTGCTCGGGCACAATGGAGCTGGAAAAACTACATTAATGTCGATTATTACAGGTAAGAAAGTTACGTAGGATCTCGTCTAAATTTATTAGAATCAATAATTTATTTTTAGTGACCAATGACTGCACAGATCGCTGGGGTTCAAAATGACTCGTAGGAATTATGACGGTTTAAAAAGATTCAGCAAATGCATCGTTTAAGGTTCTACGAGTGACTTTTTGACAATTGACATAAATGTTAGTAAATGAAACTAATTTTCCGGATTTAAATCGCGTATATTTGTTTTTTTCAAACAAACCGACGTTTCGGGCCCTTTACAGGTTCCATGGTCACTGACTGAGGTGGTACAGTCTTCAACCAGTTATGTCTAATATTGATGCAAACCATCTTATTTTTTCACTATAGTTACAATAGTTTTTAATTAAATACCTCATTTTTAATTTCACAAAGAAACATTCCAATTTACGCTACAAGTTTTACAAATTATTTTATTGAATGAATTTTTTATTAAGTTTAGTTTAATAAAATTTAATAAAATAATCTAATTTCTATTATTAATTAATAATAGAAATTAGAATAAACTAAAATATATTAATAATAAATAAATATTAATTAAAATTAATAAAACATATTAATTAGTATTGCAGTCTTATGTTTGTTTGGGATTTTTCATTAGAGGAAATACTGGATCCCAAACTGTTGGTACGGAGAAACCATCTTCCCTGTTGAAATTAAGATGTTTTTTAATTTCAATGGCCTCTCGCAGCATCCTGGGTAGATAACGGACTTCTTATGCAAGGACCTGGGGTTAGTCAAACTTCATTGAATGTGTAGGTTTATCCATGACATGCTCGCAGTCTTGTTTACGCGACGGTGTTTGACATCAGCTATATGTTCTTTGACGCGGGTACAAATACTTCGCTTTGAAAAATAGGGTGGTTTGCATCAATATTAGATATAACTGGTTGAAGACTGTACCACCTCAGTCAATCGTGACCATGGGACCTGTAAAGAGCCCGAAACGTCGGTTTGTTTGAAAAAACAAATATACGCGATTTAAATCCGGAAAAATAGTTTCATTACTTACATTATTGTAACTAGTTTCTAGCTCTTGCTCGTGATGACAGGTGTGATATGCGCAACAGAAGGTACAGTGACAGTATACGGCCTGGACACGGTTCAGCACCAGAAGCAGGTGCGAAAGCTAATCGGGCTATGCCCGCAGGACAACATTTTTTTCCCTCACCTAACAGTGCTCGAGCACGTCATGTTCTGCGCTATGGTAAGTTTAAAGGACTTTTGCAATATTTATGGCCAAGGACAGCGTGAAATACAAATGAAGTGATGTCTGAAATTTGAATTTTTGTTTGTCCTAACCCGATCGGATTGGGTATCATGTGTAATTTTGTCTACCAAACGCTAAATGAGTTTAATTTAAACTTAATGTGAATTTGATACCCGACGAAATATTACTCTACGTGAAAACAACACAACAGAGAGAAAGCATTATTTCACATTTTCTTTATGATACCTACTAAGTGATGGGATGAACAAGTCTTGCGCCTGATGGTAAATGATACGCCTGTCCATAACAGTTGCAGTGCCACTCAGAGCTTTAAATCGCAAAGATCTGAGGTGCACTGCCTCATCACCCTGAGACATAAGTTTCCACATTCCGTTTGTTTATTTCATAAAACTTATATCCGATCCTAAAGGTTGTAGGCTGTTTTTTATGAACATGGAGTGAAATGACAGTTCATTGCGCAAAAGTGTCATTAGAACGTCCAACATTCACAATTCTGACATTATTGGCAAAATTTTAACTTCGTTCACAATTTATCGATAAAACTGTCGACAACAACTACATGACTATTAAAATTTTATGAAAACTGGGAATCGTGAAAGTGTCATTTTACTCCCTTTAAAAAGACTGTTGACGAAAATTGTAAACTGGAATAAGAATACACGAAAAGTGAACTGTAATTTCAACTGGTCCGACAAAATGTAAATAGTAATATTTTTGATCTCGGATGACCATATACAAAAAAAGATACAAAAACGTTTATTTAACTGTCCAAAACGTAATATTGTGATACATTGATACCACACTAGGCTAGGCCTGTGTCGTGGTTATCAGTACAGATGGTTTTTACATAAGGCCTTATTTTACTGTATTATTAAATGATTTATTTAAATAGTAATAACAAACATAAAAATTACAGAAGGGCAATAAATACTGTGTGTATGTTTGTGGTGTGTGTGTGTGTGTGTGTGTGTGTGTGTGTGTGTGTGTGTGAGTGTGTGTGTGTGTGTGTGCGCGTGCGTGTGTGTGTGCGTGTGCGTGTGCGTGTGTGTGTGTGTGTGTGTAATGGCAACAAAACAATATTATTTGTAGAGCGTCTTTTATAGGAACAAGTAACGACTCTGTGACCTCGTATATGATTAGCACGTGCTTTAGTGTTATTTTGACTTCCTAAATCCAAGAAAACTCCGATACAGTACTTTCCAGTAATGAAGATACTTTTTCCACTAGGGTTCTAACGGCATTCTCGGCGGACCTTCCCCTTCTGAATCCAAACGAATTGTTGACTAGTAAGCTCTTTCCCTCCAGATACATCATCAGTCTTTTGTTAACTACCTTTTCCATTATTTTAGAAAAAGCAGGTAGCAAGGATATAGGCCTGTAGTTGTTGCAACCAGAGATATCTCCTCCCTTATGTATTGGCGTGACTGCTGCAATTTTAAAGGCACTGGGAACAACTCCTGATTCCAAACTTTGATTATAATTTCCGTAAGTGGAGAGACTGCAACATTTGGCGTTTTTGATTATACGACTACTTATCCCATCTATCCCAGGAGCACTGTCATATTTCAAGGAATTTATTAAAGACTCTACTTCAAACTGGTCCGTTGGAATCAAGTAGAACGAGTTCACTGGACAGCTGCTGGTGTCAGCTTTTTTAGCTAGAAGCACTTCCGTTATGTCCAATTTTTCCAAAACTTGATACGCCAATGTTTTCCCTATAGTTGCAAAATGGTCATTAAGAACATTTACCGATTTTTCAGGGGTTTCTTTTATGCTTCAAATTTTGTCTATTGACAGATTTGAGTTGCTTTTCCTACTTGTTCATTTGTTTATTGTTTCCCATGGTTTTTTGCTGAAGATTAAGAGGGAGCAGAGGAAAAATTCCTAATCTTCGATTTGATTTTAGAGGGGTATATCCACTTTAAAGATAAAAATAAAATATTGTATGAGTAACTACACGATATATTCAAGCATAGGCATTAATCAGAAACATGAAACAATAAAGTTTCCTAGATAGATAAAAATCACGAAATGACCTCTAATTTTCACATTTTTTCGATTTATCCTCGAAATGCTACAGGTTATTAGGATAAAAATTAGATAATTAATTATATTTATGCATGATCGACAACTGTCACTACGGATTTTTTTTAAATCCCTTTAGTTTTAGAGTTATTCCGCTAAAACGAATTTGGTACTTTTAATGCGCAAAATCCAACATCTCCTGTCGCATGTCACGCGAACTTCAGGCATATATTTGTTTCACAAATTTGGGCGGAGCCAACGTCAAAACTTTTTTGGCATGCTCCATCTTAAGCAAGTCGCTATTATACATATTTTTAGTTTTTCTTAGCAGACTTATGTAGAAATTCCGGTATCTAGAATAAATTATACTATTAATATTATCTTTTGGCAGGTTTCTGGCTTTCTCGTGTAAGTAATCTCGAACTTGTGAGCATTTATTCGACCTCGGCTCATCCACGGCTTTAGAATCAACATACGACGTTTTTTTGTAACCAATTTTTTGGTGTTAGACTCCATTATGTCGAGAATTATTTTCACAAATATATTTGTTTGTTCTTTAGTATTGCGAAATCCTTGCAGTTTAATCCAGTCAACGTTATTAAGCGCTGAAATGATTTTCTGGTCGTAACGTCGTAACGAATCCTGACAAAGTTTGACTTTGGAAGCTTAGGTGATTCAGTTGTTATACCTGTAATGATAGTGCTGTGATCTGTTACCGAAGATGATACGACAACGGTATCTACATCAGCTCTTCCTTTTACGAAGACATGATCAAGTAGAGCATCTCTGTGCGTGGGTTTGTCCACTGCTGGCAGAAATCCCAACACAGATATTCCGTAGTATCCGCGGGGTGAGCTGCTGTGTGGAGTATATTTATATTGATATCGCTTGTAAGTACAAAACATGGTTGTTGATCGATATTTGTTATGACATTATAGAGTGAGCCTATAAACGGGTCAAGCTGCCTAAACGACGGAGATCTGTAGATTGCCTATACCATAACACATGCTTTTATATCGATAGCTAAACAATTTGAATCGTACAAATTTAGTTCTTTACATTGCGGAGACAGATTTTCCCTCACGTAAGCTATAACCCCACCAGCTTTATTGATGTATTCCGTACTGCTAAATTGAATATAGCCGTTTATTTGAGTGATAATTGACATATCACTTATCCAACACTCTGTAAGTATTAAAATATCAATATCCAAGTTGACTCTAGCCAGGAGCACAAGAAAATTACTAAAATTGCGATTGATGCTTCTTATATTTAAAGTAAGTATTTTAAGATTGTGTTGTTTCACTAAACTACAGCAATCCTCAGTCTTAGTTATGGAGTGGCATTGTAAGTACCTCAACTCATCTAATTCATTAATTATGGCTTGAGTAGTCACTAAGTGACGCCTTTAGAAAAAATAAAGTCTCGGTTAGTATGCCACTCCATAATAATGCTTTTATCAATAATTGTGTTCGCGTAATGTACAGTGTGGTGTAATTTGTAATTATTGTTGGAAGTATAAGTGTAGTATGTGTGTGTTTTGTCTGTGTAGTGGTTAAGATAGCATATAATATGATTAATCAAAAACAGTTTATCCTCACGACGAATAGACACTATCAGGTTTATGTAGCGGTCCCATCTTATCCAGGTTATTCATCTGATGAGAATAGCAGGGCGTTTTTCAGTTCCATTGTTATCTGTTTTACGAACAAAGATCGACCCATTTCGAAGCCAACAATAACGGAATCCATGTAGAGAATCCCTGGTGCGGGCGTCACGAAATAACAAGCGGTTGGCTTTAGTCAGTCGTTCGTTTAGGTAAATTTTCCTGTCTGGTATAGTGAGTTGAAAGGACTCTGATGTGAGATTCTTCCTTCCTTTTCCTGTGCATCATGTATTTTAAGGTGTTTAGTCAATATGCGATCAAGCAAACCGTCCAACGATATGGGTCTATAATTGTTCTTATCGGACACATCCCCCGTCTTGTGTTTCATAAGGGGCACCACCACAGTCTTCATTAAATCATCGGGCAAGTATGCATGCCTTAAACAAAGGTTGAATAAGTGAGCCAAAACCTGCGGCAAGTGCCCACCCGCTTGTTGTTGATGCTCCATATTTAAATCATCATGTCCAGGTGACTTACCTCTCGTCACCCCCTTGATGATGGACGCTACATCTTCACTGGTGATATTTAGGTCAGCCGAGTCACAACGATCATAAGCGTCAAGCACCCACTCCCTATCAGGTGGCTCAGGGGGCTCAACCTTGAAGTGCTCCATGAAAAGATTGGCGATATCCTTACTATCAGCCACACCGCACACTCACCGGACAACTCGTCCTAGGATTCAATTTACTGGACTCCTTCCAAACCTTATGACAGTTCTGCGCCTTATGGTGCGATGCTATTATGTCGAGTTTAATTTGCTCATGATTCTTCTGACACCACTTTAATTTAACCTTAGAATTGCTCTTAGAAGCTTTCATAAGTTCATAGGTAGGCTCTAGGGAGGGCTTTCCCATTGTAACCCATACCAGAAAACGTAACCGAGCCACCGAATGAGCATCTTTGACGTGTCGGTTCCAGTCTTTTAGTAGCGATTACGCAGTCGAAAAGTTGCCGACGCATTCAGGCAGACGCGCACACCGGCGCCTCCTGCCGTCGTGTCCTTTAGCGTGCTCTGCAATATTGTGGAGAGAAATGCGCTGCGGTGTTCCAAATTGATACCTTATCAATTCTTAAAGCGTAAAATATATATTGATAATTTTAATGTCTCTCATGCACTTTTCCTTTTTTTTTTTGGTTTCTGATGGCCCTAATTTTGTTTTTAAGCAGCGATCATTTGCAAACCATCCCAGTATCGATTGTAGTAAGATGAATGAGATCAGGTTTCGTGTTCGCCACATGCGGCTGTAATAGTATTTTTGTTTTAAATTTGTTACCTAATTGTTTTAGTTTTGTTCATCGCTTTTTTTTTAAGTTTATACATCAAAAGTGTTTAGGGATCAAGTACGTTTTTGCACGTTACTGAAAAATCAGGTTTTTAAATAATTTTTTTTCAATACTGATGGATTTTTTGGCCAATTTTATAATTTGATGTGATGAAATTGACCAAGGAAATCCATTGTTGTTAAAAAAATACGCATTTTAAAAAACCTGATTTTCAGTAACTAGTCAAAACGTGTTTGATCCCTAGACACTTTAGATGTGTATTTTTGTGTTACGGCATAATAATAAATGCTTTCTATTTTATAATAGTGTCTACATCATTGCGAAATTTGACAAGGCTTGTTAAAGAAGCAGCGTATAACGCGTGTCGTTCCTTGCGAATTATAATAAAAGGTCACTTTCAGTTAAAAGGCGCCAATCGCAAGGCAGCGAAGGAATTTTGTCTTGAACTTCTGGATCGCCTAAAAATTGCAGACAAAGCCAATAATAAGAGTGAACAATTGTCGGGGGGCATGAAACGAAGATTGCAGCTCGCGTGTGCACTTGCTGGAAGAGGAAACGTGCTAATACTCGATGAACCTACGTCGGGACTCGACATCAAGACTCGTCGAGAACTTTGGAACTTGTTATTGGTAAGCGATTTGACTTCACATCGAATTCCTACCAAAAAATAAATCAAAATTTCTGATCTCATGATAGAGCAAAGATATACTTGCTCAATTCCATTATATTTTTCAGTAGCATTGTCGTTTTGTGTTTGTGAATTGGTTATATTGTACAGTCACTGCGTGGTGAGCGTACGGTGCTACTGACGACGCACTTCATGGAAGAGGCAGACGCACTAGGCGACCACGTGGCGACGCTAAACGGTGGCCAACTGCGCGCTCTTGCTACGCCCATTTACCTCAAAAAGAACTTAGGTAGGTGTATGCATAGTTCTGGGGGTCAATTCCCATTTTCCGTCAGACACTCAGCCGAAACAATTGCTGTCAAATAAGTAACAGCCAACCAAATTAAGACCTTAAGACTTTGCCTTTTGATGATGATGATAATGAAATTGTAGAGTAATTATCAAATATCATATTATTCCATTTCCCAACAGGCACCGGCTACCGCCTATCCCTAAAGACAATCGGACTACCCCAGAAAAAGGCTATCACACGTCTCGTAATGACTTACGTACCAGAAGCAACACTAAAAGAAATAGGTCTCGACACCCTCGAATACTCACTACCGTCCACCAGCAGCAATTTCTCGACATTACTCACGCAGTTGGAAAACGAACGATCGAAACTCCGAATAGATTCGATCGGAGTCGGTGTTTCGACTCTCGAGGAAGTTTTTACAAAGTAAGTCGTATATTGAAACGATCTTGTCCATCTGTAAAATGTATAATGTCAGTACGGAGTACTAAATAACCGACCTCAAAAGTTCGTGCAATTACATCTATTTGCCAAGTTTTATTAAAATTGGTTATTGGAAAGTACACAAAACCGGATTCATCATCTATTATATATTATGCTCACTGTTTATAGTATATTAAGAGAAAAACGCCTTCAATTGGAGCATAGCAAAATCAACCATTAAAATAATTGCTCCTTACAAAATTTAGGCGCTATTTATAAAAATACTTTATGCGTGAATATTCCGCCGGCCGTTGAAAGCTTGCCTTTCAACCAATAAGTAACACTTGCTTCAGGAAGTGGACAAATTTTTGAAAAGGATCTTATTACAATTCCTATAGGAGTTTTGATATCGACCAGTTTATTGACGCCATCAGTGCCAGGAAATAGAGCTATAGCTCGACCCAATTTATATATTAACGGTGGTAGATTGCCCTCCTTTAGAACTACTAGAGATATCATCTTCAATGCGTCTTTACAAGTACGCCATTTAATCGTCAGTTGAAGCTTTGAGACATATTCTTTGCTCCATCCACACCAAAAATGTTGTCGAAGTTTTTCAATTTCCTGAAAACGATTCAAGCGATTGTTTTGTACATTTTGACAATCCTGTCTTGGCAAGGAAGTGAGTGGTTTACCGATGATGAAATGTCCTGGTGTTATGAAATGTTAGAGTTAGAATTGTGCCACATAGAACTGAGTACGTGTGACTACTGGGAATAAACGAATGGCAGGTACTCTGGATCGCTCGAGAGTGGGGTAAGTGCAGCAAATCATAGACCATTGTCGGAATATACGGTTTTGGGTTTCCCCCTACGCACAATGAATCTGCGCAATGCTGATAAATAATTGTTGCTTGTCAAGTCACCAAGCAATTCAATGTGGATAGCCTTTGTCGTGAAACATATAAAAAGACTATGTACACCTTCAGCAGCCTACATCCACAGCTTTGATGACTAGCAGTTAAGTTCACTTGTAAGCTTCATTTACATATCCTTGAATCTAGATAGACAAAATCCGGCTTTGGTTTAGAACCATTTACGGAACTTTACACAGGAGATAGTAAAAACCGATGCTCGCTGCTTAAAGTATATTGAGAGAAAAAAACGCCTTCAATTGGGGCATAGCAAAATCAACCATTAAAATTATTACTCCTTATTGCTCCTTATAAAATTTAGGCGCTATTTATAAAATAAGTCTTCATGCGTGAACAGCCACCCTTACAGGTGGAATATTTTCCTTAAAATTAAGTGGTACCACTGCTGAGGTACCCTCTTTCCAACAAAAAAAGAATCATCAAAGTCGGTTCACAAATATCGCGTAACATACATACAAAAAAGACTTCAAAAAAGGAGGTTATACGTTCGGCTGTATATATGTTTTACGATTTCTCCATAATTTGTGGACCGGTTGAACATTATTTTTTGTTTGAAACGGTGCACTCTCGTGATGGTCACATTATATCGAGGAACATCCTCAAATTTTATAGGAATGTCAGTGTACTCACCAATTTCTCCATCAATTTCATCAATTCAACTGCCTCTGTGGCCGAACGGTTACCATGCCGGACTGCCACGCAGAGGTCCCAGGTTCGATTCCCGGGCCGGGAGAAATATTTGTATGACCTATATAGAAATATTTGTTTCTCTCGTGAGTTTGGGTGTAATTTGTGGTTGTCTATATGTGTGTCCATAGCACCCGCGACACAGGGTTTCCCTAGTGCGGGGCTATGTTGAGTGTGTGTTATTTAAAAAAAAAAAATTTAGGATCGATTTTGTTTTTTGTGTTCGAAATTCTTTTTTGTTTGAAACGGTGTACTCTCGAGGGACCATGATGCCCACGATGCTGTTCCGGGCTCGTTTCGGCTATCGCAAATTACTAATTATTTTCCGAAAAAGTCAACTTTACCTTCACCTGACAACCAGAAAAAAAGTATAAAACGTACAACTCATTTGTCCGTAACAGTCCAATTGTCGCAATCTTTTGTTGTTGTCACGATTTTTTGTTTTTTCAATGAAAGCGTTACAATTACTATTTCCATGATCTAGGATTCGTGCTAAATTTGTGGATACATTTGCAACATTTAGCTATTGTGTAGTTTATCAGTTGCTCACCTCATTCATAATCACCAGTGAGTGATTTAAATTTTATTCCAGATTGTGCAGCGACATTGAAACATCTTTCACGGAGGACACTTTCGACGATGAATTACAAGGTACTTATATATATTTAAAGTCAAATTTCGAGGTCAGTTTGATGGAAATCGGCGGTGAAATATCACTTCAAATATGAATAAAATTTAATGAATATTCAAACTTTTATTGAATTGACATTCAATTATCTTTTATGTGAAATTACTCCACTAGTTTGTTACAATTATTAATACAAAGATCGAACACTCAGAGAAATTTCCTTCGATCCTCGGTGACGAAATACTTTCACAGATTTCTCATAGATGGCGCTACGGTTAAAAGTCGTTGAAAAAACCAAATACGAAGATACGACAACAAGCACACAGAAGAATTCGTGAGGTCCGCTGGTTCGTTCCGTGGCTTGGTTGGTGTAACGTTTCGCACGATATTTCTAGCATACTGACATCGGTTCGAATCCGGCCGGCCCGAAGGATTTTTTCTGAGTGTTCGATCTTTGTATGAATGGAATATTTTTTTATTGTAGTAAGTACAAGGTCCAGGGCAGTACTTACTACCTATTTCAGTAATAAACATCTCTATAGTCCAGTACCGGTTGTAGAATGTTACGGACTTGCGCAATTTTTATCTCAATTGGTAAAAAACTCCTCAGTGAGAAATATTAACTTTATGACCAACGGATGAAGGGAAATTTGAAATAAAAACCGAAAAAAAAAGAAAAAACCGGAATTGTTTGCATTATTTTCAAAAAAGAACCCACTAAGTTTGTAAATGTAAATCCATTTCTGTCCCCAAAAATAGCGGGCTTTTGAAATTACAAGTACAGCTTTTACAAAGATTATTTTTATTTTTGAAGAAAAAACGAAGAAAGAAATAGTTTAGGAAATGAAACTATTTTTCCGGATTTAAATCGAGTATATTTGTTTTTTCAAACAAATGACTGTACCACCTCAGTCAACCGTGACCATGGGACCTGTAAATGTCGGTTTGTTTGAAAAAAAAACATGTACACGTGATTTAAATCGGGAAAAATAGTTTCATTTCCTATGTGTAACAATCGCGAAAACCTAAGATTTCGATAAAGAAATAGTTATGTAGAAAGTTAGAACTATAGTCCTTATTTTAAACCAAATTACAAAAGACTGTCTTAAAAATTCCAATAATTTCGAATTCAAAGTGAGAGAGGATAATGTGATTTAAGTGAAAGTGAAAACACAAATATTTAAATAAATAGGTTCAAATATAGCTTGCTGAGCATAGCCAGGATTTGAGGGCACGAGACGCAAAACAACGCAAAATCTTTTTTATTGAAAAGAAAAACTTTATCTACGGATGCGTTCTGAATGGTACATCTCATGAAATTTTTGTTCATGCTTGTACTTTTATTTTGTGTGATTTAGTGATTATTGAAATTATTATAGTTCTTCGACGAATTAAAATAATTTAATTAACACAATTAGTTGTCATTGTTAATTTAATGTCAACAATAATAAGAATGAAATATACCAACGGATTTATGTTACATTAATAAGTAATGCACGACGAATCGCTTAATTGAACGTGCCATTATCTTTTTTTTTCGTCGAAGGAAAAGTTAGGTGCACCACATTCCTTTGTCAAGTTCGAATTTCAAAAACCTTTTCCACGCTAGCGTGCAAAAAACGTTTTTGCGCGCTTATTTCTAATGAGAAAAAAGCCCTTTCCGAGCTAGTGAGGTGAAAAAAATATTTTTTAATACAGTTGCTCAAAACGTAGTATTTTTCGTACTACAAATCGTGCCAAAAGTTGGATTTTTCGCACTAGTGCTTTTTACTTTTCCATAAATTTTTTTTAATTTACTGTTGTTTCAAGTCTTAAACATAGAACTATAGAGGTCGTATATTTATTTAATATTTATGTGCTTTATGACCTAAGTCATTCGTCATTAAAACTTATATTTACTTGCAAACATCTTATTTGTTTAAATTGCATAGGTGTTTTATAAAACAACGGATTACATTTAAAATTACCAAAATATTTCAAATAAAGATGGCCGATTGAGTATTAACAACGATCCGAGGCGAGTATTACGCGAGACCGCTGCGCGCCGCGCCACTAAAATATACTGTTTTATTTTACTTTCAATGTAATTTTTTCGCAAATGTATTAAAAAACGTGGTTTGATACACGTGCGGATTTGTCATTTTCACTTGTCTCGAGTCTTGACCCTCGCCTCTGGCTCGGGCCAAGAAGCCTCGAGACTCATGAATAATGACTAACTTTTCGCACTTGTATTAAAAATAACTATTGTGGTTCTCAATTCGACTGTACTTTTCTTTTTTTGTGAACCTAAAATTTAACTGAATTAAAGTTTGTTTGTGATATTTTTATTTTCAGAGTCATCGTACCCAATAGTGATGGGCTATTATCTACTCTGGAACCAATTTCTTGTGCTCTTGCTGAGACGTATTAAGAGTATGTACTGTAGGAAGTGGAATTTCTTCTTCATGGTAAGAACTCTCCTTATCGATAGCAGAAGTATCAATTAACGTAAGGGATATTTTGTCGAAAATGAGTTACCTAAATTATTGGATTCGGAAGTTCCCGCTCTATCGATTGGTATTATTAAAATTTAGGGATGCCCAGTGGTTTAAAATATAGCATGTCCCTTACATTAAAAAACATTAAAAAAAATTGTTTAGTTGTGCCTTACAAATAAAATAAAATCGCAAAGATGTACTTGTAGTATTTTTAATTTAAGTTAGAGCTAAATCGTTACTTAGTTTCAAGAATAAATTTAAAAAAATGCCATTTATCATTGACTTACAAATAAATGGACGACGACGGGTCTAATATAAAAACCACGAAAAAAATGTCCCAAGTCAACCTATTTAAACGTAGTGACATATAAAGGAATATGAAAAAGCTAAAACGTTGAATTTAAATTGTAATGTCATCGCAGTACTGTCTAATTTTGCTTGCTTCGCTGTCAATCGAACAAACGAAGACTACAGTGCGAATGACGCTCTGTATACGATTTTAACGCCCTATAAGTTCGGACACTTTTTAGCGCGGACCCGATGTCCATATAATTGTAAGTCAATGCCATTCATACAATTTCTTTCAAACTAACAAATAAAAACGTATACCAATATAGAAAGAAACTTTTGATATGTTAGCTTTTCAACGACAGTTTACTATTTTCACCACTAATTATCATAATTGTAAATGAATTTTAATTGAACATTCATAACGTTGTTTAAAAAATTTTGCATTTTTTTAATATTTAGTAGCAGTAGAGCTCCTTGTGAAAGAGTTCGTCCAGGGAAGTATTGCCACTTTATCTATTTCTGCCGCCAAGCAGTAATGTCATCATTACTGTGTTCCGGTCTGGAAGGGTAAGGGTGCTGGTGTAATTACAGGCACATGAGAATTGTCATCTTACGTCTCAGGGTGATGGGCGCAGTGGCAGTGTCTCTCAGATCTTTGCCATTTGAAGTTCTGAGTGACACTGCAACTGTTATGGACAGGCGTGTCGCTTACCACCAGGCCTACGACTGGTTCGTCCCGTCACCTGGTATCATAAAAATAAAACACTAATTACACACAAAATCACGAGAGAAATAAATGTAGCTTATCATTGACTTACAAATAAATGGACGACGGGTCTAATACAAAAACCACGAAAAAAATGTCCCAAGTCAACCTATTCGAAATTTAAATTGTAATGTCATCGCAGTATCGCGCTGTCCGTAGAACAAATGAAGACTAAAGCGGAGTGTCGCGCTCTGTATACGATTTTAGCGCCTTACAAGTGCGGACACTTTTTAGCGCGGACCCGACGTCCATATAATTGTAAATCAATGTAGCTTATACATACATTTCTCTCCTGGCTTTCAACTTCCTCGCAAGTGTGATGAGAACGACTATATGCCATACGAGTAGAACGGTAATCACAAATGTTCGGGCCAGGTTTTGAGTCTGTGCCTCTATAATATTTAATTGCGTAATTTTAACCCTTCTATTTATTTATTGCCTACTATTTTGCAGCAAGTACTAATACCAATTTTATTAATATTCGCCATGACATACATGACTAACGATCCAGTAAAAAGTGATGATGAAGACCATAAAACGACCATGAACTTCAGCATGTTTAGAGACATGCACCAACTGAAGGTTTTTTACAAACTAGACTATAAGAACCGTGAATTTTTAAAGACTTTTCGACCGTTTGGCAACGTTGAATTTGAAGAAACGTCCAATATAATTGATGGTACGTATTGCGTATTTTCTGATAAATCATCGTTTTTTAATTACGCAATAAAACCTTTTTGGAATATACAGTAGATGCCTGCTCTTTAGTCCGTCGCGTAAAAAATAATCATATTTTAAGCTACACCTCCTCTTATCGCCCTTCTACCGTCACGACTTACAGTTAATTCTGACGCCGTTAGTTGTGACATTTTTTCATATAATTTAATACTTATACTGCCGCGATCGGTAAAAAATGGCGATCTGTCACTATTTTTATTTTTTCCTAGTTAAAGTATGAAGTTATCGCAAGAGAAAATTAGATATGTTTTTTAAATTCATTGCTTTAAACCAACTATATATATGTACTAGTGTAATAGATGCAGCGTTACATACACACGCTGCGTTTACTGATATGTGGTGAAGACGCTACACGCCATTAAATATAGTTGGTTGTCAAACATTCAAGATGGCGGACGCAGATGCGGTCCTCTTTAAAAATTAATTTACATCCTTTTCTCTAGTGCGGTACCTCGAATCACCTTGAAATTTTTGTTAGTACTTCTCAAAGTAACAGGTATTCACTTGAAATTAACGGACATCTCTACGAAGCAATGCTAAAATAGAAAATAAATGATTCGCTCTCGGCCTTTTGGAGGGAAAAGTGTCGTTTTTATTTTGACTTGCAATTATTTTGTGAAATCTGGTTTAAAGTGGAATAGGATAGTGCCATTGTGCCTTAATCGAAGATTAAAACGCGAAATTATACGAATCTCGAATTAAAATACCCGTATCGGCCCGTTCTAAGGAATCCCGAGTCAATCCAAGCACGCCGTCTCAAATTGCCTATCCTCTTTGTCAACGAAGACATTGCTCAAAGGACTTGTATCCAAGCCAAAATTATTAATAAAAAAATAATAGAAAATATTACAACCACAAATTAGAAAGATATTACAACTTGTGGCGCGATTGATGACGTTGAATGCTAGCTGAAGATTTCGACTGTAATGAATGCCATTACTATTTATTACCTATCAAAATGATCGTCGGTATGTGCTTTTTCCGATGGTGTTAAAACTTTAACATTTAATATCATATTGGAATCAGAATCTTATTGGAAAAAAGGTCATTGCGACTTGTGGACTCTAAAACTGAACTTCGACACTACGCTACTCCGGCAACATGTTACGTCGACATTATTTTACTCAGACACTACGCTACATCGACAACACAGACGAGGTGTTTATTAAAAAAAATTTTTGTACTCTGATAAGAAAAATCATCATTACAAACCCATCTAGGAATTGATTTCTTATATCGATCACTATGACAAAAAAAGGACAACGTTATGTAATCGGAAACTTATTTTATTAAAATGCAGAGT